TTTTATATTTGTGGCTCTACTATCTGAAATCATTCCTGTTATCTTTATATTGTCATATAATCTAAAAAAGACACACCTATACCACATAAAATGAAAACCCTAAAGTATATTTGGTTGGCAAAACATAATTCCAAAGACAGCTGGACACCACAGAAATGACATTAGTTTTGACACTAAAAGTCAAAGAGGTATTAGTTTTTTTTGTTTTTGTTTTTTATCCTCACCTGAGGACACTTTTTCATTCTTTGTTCAGATAGAGCAGGAGGGAGGGAGGGAGGGAGGGAGAGAGAGAGAGAGAGAGAGAGAGAGAAACATCGATGTGAAAGGGACACATCAAGTGGCTGCCACCCTCACGACCAACCAGGGCCGGGGACAAACTGCAACCGAGGTACATGCCCTTAGTGGGAACCGAACCCGGGTCTCTCCGGACCGCAGGCCGACGCTTTAACCGCTGAGCCAAACCAGCCAGGGCAAAGAGGTATTAGTTTTGACATGAAAAGTCAAAAGAAAATTTAGCTTAGCCTTCAAACCAATATTCAAATGTTACCTCATCTACTCATCTATACTATCTATCCACATCTTCCACGTGAAGCAAATGCAACCTGTACAACTTCGAACTTAGTGACTTACTAAGAACTTGTCCTGCTCAGCTCTACCATGACTCATCTTTGAAGTGGTCTGGACCACACACAGGTCTCCTGACCTACTGTGCACAGGAGCGTCTATGTAACACATCAGGACCATGTGTTGGGGTTATTATCTTCCACTGCATGTAGCCAGCACGTGGGATGGTGCCACCGTATGCTGGACAGAGTCAGGGGAATGTCTCCTCTTCTCCCGACAAGATCAGACACTTTTCAGCAAAGCTTGACATTCCTGCTTAGGTGGCCATGGTGGCTCCATGCAATCATCATTGCACCTGCCTTTATTAAATGTTATTTACTAAATCAAACCAGGAAGAAGAACCACAGTGCTCTGGCCTCAGTGCTCTTGTGACCATCTGATGTGTCTTCCTTCCTCCAGAGAGTATGGAGGGCAGGGACATCACAGTATGCATGACCATACTCTAACCAGCTGCCTGGGGCCTGTCCTGAGTATCTCGATGAAGGAACGACAGTGACTTCCGTTGCAGACAAGAGGTGGAGCCTCAGCAGGCACAACAAGCAATTCCACACCTGGAGGGAGGATTACGCACGATGACCACTCCCTGCCCAATGCTCTCCTAGAGGCAAGGCCAAGCAGAGCCCATCGGATATAGAACTATCCTGACTTCAGGCCATCTACCTTCCATGACACTCTCCTGAGAACACTCACATGACCAAATCCATTCTGCACAACTGACTCTGCATCCCTGAGTGTTAAGGTGAATGCAGCTTCCAGCCACTATCTCACCAGACCCATTTTGAAAGTAAGGAATGTAAGGTTCGGGCAGGTTGGGCAACTTTTCCTTTGCCCCACAGATGAACCAGCCACGTGGCAGCTCTGAAAGGAGAAGATGACTCTCCTGACTGCTGGGTTCGAACCTCTTTCAATATGCTTTTCTCTCAAAGGTTGACTAAGTAAGATATTTCATAAGACATCTCTTAAAATCACCTAGAAGCTGCAGGCAGCCCACAGATGATGCAAAATGTAAATAAGTTCTGGACAGTGATTTACTGATTCCTAAGCACAATCACAGTAAAGTCAGCTGACATGGCCCAATTGTGGAGACAGTGGGCATTTTGTGACTAGCTTCCCTGACAAGTGGAATGAAAGTTTGCCGGGGAGAGGTGAGCGGGCACACAACACAATGAAAACCGGGGGGGGGGGGGGGGGGGGGGGGTCTGGCTCTATCTCACCTCAGGCGTCCCCTCAGCCAACAGTTCTGACAGTGCAACAGCTTGGAAGCATTCCTGGGACTCCTACCCCCTACTACCAAAGGGCCTCCCCCTCCCCTGTCCACCTGCTCAGATTTAGCCTAAAGCCCCAGACCACAAAGCCAGGTACATTTCCCATACAGAAGCACTGGGAACCCATTAAACATGGCCTGTAGGGCATTGTTTCGAGGGCCCCATTGTAGTGTTTGCTGTGCCGAGGCAGGGACTGGTTTTATCCCCTTTATAGACAAAGAAATTGAGATGCATTAGTTCACCCAGAATTGAACTGCTAAACAGGGAAGGGCATTAGGGGCGCTGTCTCCTGGCCCATGGCCTCATAGATCTGTGAATTCTGGTTTTCAGTCTCAAATGTGTCCTCGGATCACTCTGGGCAGAATGGTGGGGTGCAGGAACATTTGTTTTGGCATCTAACAGATCAACTGGTTTCTCATCTGCAGCTTACCTTCTGTTTAGGTTAACTATATTATTTAAACAACAAACTTCAGTTTCTGCACCTATTTAACAGTAAAGTAACAGAGATGCAAGATGCCTGGCATATAGGTGCTAAATCTTAGCAACTTTCCCTTTATCAATTCAAAAAGAACTCAAAATTACACTAGAAAAAAAATTATTTTTCATTGAAATTGACAAGAGTCTGTTTCTATGGAGAAAGAAAACAGTTGTGTGGACAGAAGCAAGACAAGGAGGGCTTCCCTTTCTCCAGTCTTCTCCAAACTCACTGCAAGGTTCTCATGGCTGAAAACTGGCAAGGGCAATAAGTAATCAACCAAAGGAACCTCCAATGACTGGACTGTGATTATTCCTTAAGCATAACAGAAACTACATTTTCTGAAGAGAAATACTAAAAATGCCAGTACAGGAAGTCACTTGACATCATTGATAAATTATGCGACTTTAAGTGAAATGATGTATAATGAAACCAATTTTACCATAGGCTAATTGACATAAACAAGAATTAAGTTGCTAGGGCATCTCATTACCATTATAACAAGGACAGAACCAGAGAACCTGCTATATTGTTCATTTCCTTACTGATCCATCCTCACTAGCCCATTTGGAGATTTCCACAGTCTATAAAACAAATGCTTCTCTAAGAATGGTTTTCAAAGGTTAGGAGCATAATGTCATAAGACCTTTTCTGGCTGCTAATGGAGGTGCCAAGGGAGCAGAGGTTGCCCTGAGGCATAAGGAGGGGGGTGTCCTGGGGTCCTGGGAGTGGAGAAGTGCATCCAAAGGATCCTGGCAGCCCAAGCTCAGAGCACAGTTAAGAGGAGCTAAAGGCCAAATACTGACTGAGAAGTTCTGTGAAGAAAAGGAAACACACTTCCTACTCCTCTCCTAAAAGCCGCCATTATAGTTTAGCTTATTATTTACTTAAAGAAATATTTGCTTGCTAAAATAGGAAAATGCATAAGTCACAAGGAACACAAATTCTAACAAATTTCCATTTTACTAATGGAAAATCAATGGCTGCTCCAAGCCACACATTGGGAATAGGAACTGAAAACAGAAGCACCTCGGACCTGATTCGAGGCTAATCCAGGAAACCTTTTCCCTGAGCTAGTCACACTCAACTATGCAAGTGAAAGCAAACTTCCCCTAATTACCTGACTGCTAGAACCATAACTGACCACTCGAGTTTTAGCATCTCACATATGAGCAGCCATTTACAGTTGCAGTGTTTTAACACCAGCACCTCATCTCATCTTAGCAGCCACACTCTGTGCGAGTGGAGTAGTCACTGCTGTTCCTCATTTCACAGGTGAGGATGCCTCTCAGATGGAAGATTAAGATTCAAGAAGTCAAGTGAGTAGACCAAGGTCAGAGAGCCAGGGTGACAAGGCCGTGAACTCTGAACTCCAGGTTCAGGACTTCTGAAGGCATAAACAAACCCGAGTGCACCCCAGGAGCTTACAGTTGATAACTAAGACATGCCTGTAATTAGGAATGAAAAACTATTTTTTACAAAACAAACAAAGCCAGTAAAACAAATTAATATTTTCCTAATCAATCAGCAACTATCACATCCAAAATAAATTTATAAAGCAAGTTTTAGTTTCTGAAATATACTAAACTACTTTATCCTTACATCTTTAAGTAAGAATACTTACGTCAAAATTTTTTACCAAAAAATAAATAAGGCCATGATTTCATTTGAGAATGAGATATAAAAAGCAAGTTTAATGACACACATTTGACAAAGACCTCCAAAATGGGTTCTCTGTTAGCTTCTGAAATATTTCCTTTTTAAAACTACCAAAACCACCTAATAAGTTTAAAGGACCATTTCACAAGGAGCTAAGTTAAAGTTTTTTCACCCAAAACTCACTGGAAATTTACATTATATTTATGACAAAAGTGCTGCCAACAGCCTGAAACAAAAATGACGTTAAGAACAATTCACTTGTACAATTAAGGAAAAGCAAAATGCTGAAACAGAAACAAATAAAAGCAGAAAATAACGGAGAACTAGCACATCAGAAACAAAACTGATATGTGGTTTTCTTATTATTTTGGTAGTGACCCTCCTGAAGCTGTAATATTCTCAATCACCTCAAAATACCTTGACAAACATTGTAGACTGTTGTTCTTTTAAGTCAGGCCACAAATGTTTTCACTACCTACTACCCTTGGGGAAATTCTTTCCATGGCACCGAAACTCAAAGGATATGGTCTTGATGCCCTTAATAACTTTTGAGCCTAGAATACTTGAAGTAGAGGGTGAAGAGCCCAAATAGATGTTCAGCTTATTAATCTTCCCCCAAATAAGTTTCAAAAGTCCATTCCTTTGTTGTATTTCCACCATCTGACATCTGGCAAAGATTCTGCAGTATTTTCTTTCTCCATTTCTAAACTAGTGTCTGCTGTGCAAAATAACTTAAATCATCAATGATCCTTTGAGGGGAAAAAAAAACAACCTTCAGGAATCTATTGTACTTGCCCAAAGAAAGGATACTTACTGCCTCTTAGCATAGTTTAAACAGAGGAAGAAACAACCTCTTTGGAGGAGAAAGGGGCACGTTCCCACCAGAGTGCCACCCCAAATGCGGGAGCAGGAGCTTCAGTGGAGACCCGAAGGGTAAGCACAGGGCACACCCTGGAAGGGGTTGGGGTCCCCCGTACCTTTTCCGCGAGGCCCAGAGCTGCCGGCGCTGCTGCTCCCCCCGGCACCGGACGAGTCCTTCCTGAGCCTTTTGCTCTGCGGCCTCACGCTGGACCGGAGGAAGTGGTGCTGGTCCTGGGGGCAGGCGGGCGGCGGGGACGGAGCCTGCGGGCCGCCTGCGGGGGCTGGGGGGCCGCCGCCCCGGGGGGTCTTGCCGTCCCTCTTTGTGCCACCGCTGTCCTCGGCCGCGTCCCCGCCGCCGGCCCCCTCTCCCTCCAGCGCATCCTCATCCGCAGCCCTCTTGCCCAGCCTCTTGAGCCCTTCCTCCCCGCCGCCGCCGTCTCCCAACTTCACTGTCATCCTGCGGGAGAGGAGAGGGGCCCTGGTGAGGCCACCGCGGCCCGGAGCCGCCGCGAAGTTTAGCCGCCCGCCTCCCTCTCAACATGGCCGCCGTTGTTTGTTCCAGGTCCTCCCACGGCCCGCCCGCCGCCGCCCGGTCGAGTTAGCCGCCCCGGACCCCGAACCCGGGCCCGGACCCCCGCCGGACCCCGTGGCCTAGGACACAGAGGGCCAGGGGCAGCGGAAGGCAGCCCAGTGGCCGCGCCCAGACCGCCCTGCCCGCGCGGCGCCCCAGCCCGTCGGGGTCGAAAGGGATTCGGGGTCCCGCGTCTGGGGTTCGAGGTTCGGGTTCTGTGGTCCCAGCGTCGCGGCCCAAAGCCACTGACCCAGCGGGGCCGCGGCTCATGGCCTGCGAGGCAAGAAGCCTGCGCGCCGGCCTCGCTCCCTGGGCTGCCTTGGCCGGCCGGGCCTCGGCGCTGGCGCCCCCCGACCCCACCCCTCCCCGCCCCCCAAAACGCGCGTGGCACCTGGCCCGCGCACCTGCCCCGCACGCCGGTCCCCAAAGTTGGCCCCGGAGCGGGGGCGAGGGGCCGGGATCCACCCCAGCAGGGGAGAGGCGCGGGCTCGCCTGCGTGCACAGGGAACTCCATAGTGGCCTGGCCGCCTGTCCGTCTGCTTATTTTTAAACAGACATAAAGAATAAGCTCAGGGTTTCTGGGAATCTTGCTTCCCAGGGTAGGAGATGTGTGCTGCGGGGATTTACGAATTTAAAATGTTGTTTTGCAACAAAGGAGCCTGTTGCATGGAACACGTTGGAGCCACCCGTGAAAGGGAGGGCACAGTATGTCCAGGTACAAATGCAAGAATGGGTAGAAGAGAATTGTTCCAACACTTGGTAACCATTAATAAAATTCTTGCATTAACTTTGTTACCCACTGCTATGTGAAATGTTAACAACAACAGAATGTGATGACTAAAAATGCAGCCCTGAAGACAGACGCACTCAAAAATAAGCGAAGAGAATCGGGTACCTGTAAACATTTTAAGCTGGGAAATAATGTGTACATGCGATGAAGCAATGAAGAGATTCCTCAACGGGTGTTGATGCTATGCCCAAACTGTGTTTGACCAGCTAAACACAGGACAAGGAACATTTCCATTTAAAAGGAAAACAAGAACAAGACATCAAGGCTAAACAAAATATAGTAACAGGGGCAAGGACCTCTCACAGAAATATTTGGGAATGAGTATAAATTATAGTAATACCTACTACTGCTCTGATGTATCCTGTCACAAACTGATCTCTTAAAAGTTTTCATCTGTTGTAACTTATAAGTCATTTGAATCCGTGCAGTGTAAAACAAACAAACGAAAAAACACCCTGCCAACGAATAGACAACTACACATGACAAATACCCAAACTTAAAGGATTTCATTGCACAGAACGTCTCAGTATTCATTTTTCAAGCTATCCATCTTTACTTAACACACCTCAAAGTATCCAAAAGGCCTTCCTTTGGTTTATAACGTGGAGAACCCTACTTTCCAGGGGACTATTATCCCCAAAGCTACCCAGAGTCAACCCAGGGCTCAGGCAAAGCACACAAGAGCCACACCAGAATAAACTTGCCCGTTTGCCAGGTTGAATGTTAGACACTAAACTGAACACAGAAGAAGAGAGCTTTTCAGAGTTAAAAGGATATTGACACATTTAGGGTTTACCCCCAAGGTTAAAGGAAAACACTAGGATGGAAAGCTTTTACCGAAAACCTCCAACATTACTTCCTGAACATGCACAAAGATGGAATCACCTCAAGCCCAATCTCGGCTCGATGCCATTCGTCACGATTCTGGAAGGAAAAGCAAAACACTCCCTTTTTGGGCCGATTTCTGGCTGCACACAAAGCGCACTGTCAACGCAACACTGCTCGGTCCGGGCTCGCCCCTAGCCGCTCCGACAAAGCACCGCGTGCGTAAGCACCGCGGCAAGGGAGCAGGCCGCTCCCCCGCAGCCCCCATCCAGATGGGAGTCTGGCCTCGCCATGACAGCCGGTCGAGGTGGCCTACCCCTTTCGAGCCCCAGCCTCGGGTCACCTTTTTCATCAATGCCCCGCAGCAGCCTGGCTTCCCGGGCTCCCCGGGGGCCTCCCGGGGGCCCGCAGATCCGGCTGGGCAGGGCAGCCCCGGGCCCCGACCACAGCAAGGCCGCGAAGCCGGTGTGGTGCTCCTGCTTCGGAAACAGTCGCCGAGCAACGCTTGCCCCGGCACGTTCCCTCCGCGGCCAGGGTGCGGCTGACTGGGCTGCGGGAGCGGTGCTGCCGCCGCTCAGCCTCCCGGAGACCCGGCCAGCCGCGCTCAGCAGCAGTTCCGGCTACGGCGGCCGAAGGAGACCGCAGGGGCGGAGCGCGGGGCGGGACAAGAGCAGCGGGCACCCGGGGTGGGGAGGGGCGAGGTGCGCGAGGACGAGCACGTGCAAAGTTTTCAGCGGGCGCGCCCCCCGAAGGGCGCTCCCATTGGCCATCTGTGGGCGCGCGCGTTTGTACGCAAGGACGCTGGGCGGGGGCGGGAGGGTTGTCTGCGACGCGGGTAATGTTGTGACACCGCCTCGCGGCTTTGCGGGCTGCTACATCTTTTCGGGTTGGTGAGTCGACAGCCAATAGAGCCAGGGCCCTGGCTGTGATTGGTTAAGGCTGTATGACGGATGCGTGAGAAGAAAACACCACCTTAGCTCAGTATTGAAGCCCGCGCGAAAGAAAGTGTAGAAGCCAACGGAGGCAGATACACACTTTATTGTGTTGAGTGTGTGCTTTTGAAGTTTTTTAGCGTAACGGATGGTGCTGAGCACTTAGGTCCTTTTTCTTCATTAGGGAAATAAAGGAATATTTTTTCAATTATAGTGCTTATGAGGGGGTAAGAGTGATGGTGTTTAAGGATAAACTGGTAGAGGGTAGTAAATAAGCCATAGAGATGAAGCGCATAGTATAATGAATACATACAGTATTGTACTACAATTAATAATGTGATAAATAGGCTATATGGGCATTTATATTACAATATATAAATGCATCGAAGCAACATCAATGTACACCTTAAATTTACACAATATTACATGTCAAGTTTATTACTTAAAAAATTCTGGGTAGTTGGGGAGGTGGAGGAGGGTATAGAGGGAATAAATTGTGACAGACGGAGACTTGACGGGAGTGTATAGATGTAGAATTGTGCACCTGAAACCTGTATAATTTTACTAACCAGTGTCACCCCAATATATTCAATAAAAAGGGAAAATTTTAAAAAGGAAAAAAAAGTTCATAAAGCACCTAAGGAGACACACAAGAAAAATAATTCTGTATATGAAAGTGGGGTTTTATAAAATGGAATCTTCCTTGTAGTTTTCCTTGTGGGCACCTATCTCATCCAGTGGTATCTACATTTTCTTTTTATTTTCTTTCTTTATTTAACAACGTGGAGCTTTTTGCCCTAGTAGCTATTTTTTAAATGAAATGACATTGCTTTGTTTTTCAAAGTTAATTTCAAAGTTAGTTTACACCGGCCCATAAGGTCAGAGCGCATGTTGTTAATGCCTTTGGGAATGTGGTCAGCCTCCCCCCGCCCCCCGATCAGGTTGGTTTCTAATGGGATGAACACGTATCGTTGGCTAACATTTTCTCGCCAAAGGCGTCTATATGACCCCCAAAGCACTGAACCCATATGATAAATTATCTAATAACTTCAATAAATATGTCGAATCAATTGGCTTTTCGCAGGAATGCTCTTGAACTACCTCTTCCTTGAGATCAGACAAAAAAGAGCCAGAAACGGTCTGGAGCCCAGAAGATCCAGCAACAAGATTAACAAGAGAGTACTCTTAAAGAAGGTGGCATTCCGTTTCTCTCCCACAGTCTCTGCTACCTTCCTCCACCTTCTTGACTGACCTACGCGTTTGAAAAGGTGTAACTACAGGAGCGGATCCCAACATCGCTATCACCCCAGGAAGAAGACAGCTCCCTTCTCTGCGCAGAACGGCATACCTTGCCCTCTTGGCCCTCCTTTCCGAGCTAGCGTTGTTGACTCATGACCGTGGCTAGGATGGGGGAAAACTGCCCCGCAAGACCATGGAGCTCGCAGCCGGCGGGAATCCGCAGGGTAACCTAGCCCCACGCGCCGCACGAACGTCCCCGATCATTTTCGGCTCTTTCCGGCCTCTCATGGAGCTTCGGGCGGCCTCGGCGTCCGCGTCTCTCAACTCGGCTATTTCCGTGTTCCGCGAGCAGCCGTTGTCCCGGCAACGCGCGGCGGCGCTGAGGCCCCGGGTAGGAGAGAGAGGTCCAAGGCAAAGGCAGCTGGGGGCCGAGGTGAGGGGTCGGGGAAGAGAGGGGTCAGGGATCTCGGAGCCCGGAGGAGGGCGACGACGAAGCGGGGCCGGGAGGGATTCGGGTGGTGCTTGGGGTGTGAGGCCAGGAGGAGGGCGACGACCAGGCGAGCCCAACCAGGTCCCGCGCCATCCCAAGTTATTTTTGTCCGGAAATCCGGTCTCCCCTGATCTCCCGCGGTCCCCGCTGGTAGGTCAAGGCTACCGGGCTATGGCCACCTCAGTCGCAGTCCAGGTACTATTGAGGGCCGCTTGGCCGTGAGAGCCCTGGGGGAGCTGACCAGGTGGGTTGGTGGGGGACGCTGGTAGAGCACTCGGTATCCCGGGGTAGGGAGAGGATAAGAAACCACCTTTCTGCGAGCTGCACCGTCCCAATCAGCGATGAATTTCTTTCCTATCCAAGGGATGCAGCTCTGACCCTGCATGTCCCGAGGCCTGGGGGCTGTGGCCTAGAGGGTGAGACTTGGCGGAGTGGCCAGTAGTGCCTGCCCCCCTTGTCCGTCCACTCAACCCCTATTTCCCTAAATTCCTTCAGGTTCTCTCGTGCAGTATCTTCAACCATTAAAGCAACTTAAATTAGCCTTAGTACCATAAACCACTCAGTTGAATGAGCTTAACAGATTCTTTCCCAAAAGTGGGTTTAATGGAGGCAGTAGAGTTGTTGGAGGCTGGAGTCTAGAGAAGTTAATTGATTAGAACAAATGGAATTTTTTCTTTCCCCCAAAGTGTATATATTTACCAAATGCTTTTAATGTTCTGGTGACCCCGAGTTTGTTTTAAGGAAAAGATGTTCACTTGTTTTTGAATTGATGTCATTAATAGATGTCATTAGTGATGATTTTGTTAGTCATTTGTACTTGTGTTTATTCTGGTAACTTTTCTTATGTAATTATGCAGATGATACTTATTCACTGTAGAAAAATGTTTAAATGCAGGTGAAATGAATGCCAAACAATCATACATTATATAAAAATGGACTCATGCACCCTGGCCTGTAACCCACTTTTTATAGCTAACAGAATATCAAGAACATTTTTCCTTGCTAATAAATATCTTTATCAGGGATTTACTTATTGTGGGCCTGTTCTGTGCAAGGCACTGTTCTAGGGCCTGGGGATGGCCAGCAGTCTGCCACCCTGTGAGGCAGATACTCTGGTAGGCAGTGGAGGATGGTTGATAAAATACACTTCTTAAAAAAATTTTTTTTTGCCTTTATTGATTTGAGAGAGAGAGGAAGGGAGAGGGAGAGAGACACACACACACAAACATCGATGAGAGAGAACATCGATCGGTCACCTCCTGAATGCCCCTCACTGGGGATCAGGCCCACAACCTGGTCATGTGTCCCGACCGGGAATTGAACCAGCGACCTCTTGGTGCATTGGTCAGTGCTCAACAACTGAGCCACACTGGCTAGACTGATCAAATACACATTTATAATAAAGTCTAAATGTAGCAATAGAGAAGTACAGGAACAGAAGTACCAAACTAGAAGTCAAGTCTGAGAGCTCCCCGGAGGAAAAGAGGCTTCCTGAGTACCCAAACGAGGGGTGTAGGGGAGAGAGCCTCTGGGAAAGCCATGCTTATTACATGCTTTTTACAAAGTGATGTTTGAAATAAAATATACTAAGGAAATCAGGTTTAAATTTTTCAAGTGATACTATAATTCTTTCTTCGTCATTGCAACAAATTAACGTTTCTCATTTTGCAAAGGAATATTTTCACAAAGTAAACTTCTTAAGCATAAATACAAATTTCCTATAGTCCAGAATTCAGACACTTGGTTGGCTGCAACATGTTAAAACTCACTTTGAAAGGTTTCCTTTGCTATATTAAATCACCAGGTGTTTATCTGGTGTGTTTTCATTTTTAATTGCTTTGTTTGAAGGTTTGCATAAGGACTTTACTCAAAGAAATCAGAGCTCTTACCAGTATAGATGTCCCCTACGTGATGTGTGTGTG